CCTCCAGGAACCGCGGAGCAGGAGGGAACAGATTTCTCCTAAAGCAGGAAGGATTTAGGTCAGATGGTGGGAGAATTTCCTGGCTGCTGAAGTATCGTCTGCAGAGGTTGTGAGAGGTCTTGGGCCCCTGCCCGAGCCGGGGAATGGACTGAATAGCTCCTGAAAATATTTTAATCTCCAAATGTTTATGGAGCCATCAAACCTGCACTCAAGGGACAGTTAGTCTAATCTCCCCACCATCCACGTGGGGAAACCGAGCCGAAGAAGGCGAAAGGGACCTGGACAACGGGGCGCTGGGCAGGATGGTGAAGTCGCCTGCTGGAGTCTTTCCCACAAGAAGGCCCCAGCTGAGCCCTGCCAGGGAAGGGGAGGACAGTGCTTAGCTTCCCACGGCCTGGCACGTGGGTCAGCCGGCAGCTCCAGGCCCAGCCCGGGGAGTAGGGCAGGAGGACGGGGCCGGCTGGTCCAAGCATGTCGGCCCCCCGAGAGGCAGTGTGAAGGGGCCCTGAATCCCCAGCAGAGGAAGGCCCGGGGGCAGAGCAGGAAAGCAGAGTGCTGTGTCTTCACCTCCCTGAGGTGAAGGCCACCAAGGCTGAAGGGCTTCCTCAAGACCAGAGGCCGCCTGCAGATGGCCTCGGGACCTGATTCAGTCTCACCTGACCCCTCCCCAGCCAAGCAGCCTGGCTTCGTCTCCCCAGGGGCATTTGCTGCCCTGACTCAGTGCCCCCTCACCCCAATCCTGGTCCAGGTTCCGTGCAGCCTGAACCTTCTGGGGAAGCGCTCCCAGGGGCTCAGCCCCAGGCTCCAGGGCATGAGTGAGGTAGAGGATAACCCATCTGCATAAATGTAGGCCATGAGGCCTTGAGAGGGGCCAGGCCTGCCTAGAGCCACAGAGGTCTGTGACAGAGCAGGGCGAGAAGTCAGGCTCCTGCCTACCTCCTGGGCACAGAAGGCAGGAGGCTGATAGTGACCAGGCTTCCTTAGGTAACCTGAGCAAGACCATCCACCTAGCCTTTGGGTGGTCGGCCACGGCCCCAGGGGTGCAGCCTCTGGAGTCTGGCTGGATCAGCCACGGAAGGGGCACGCTGTGTAACCCTATCTCACAATGACAACAATGAACTAGACAGATCTTAAAAGTTTACAGAGTGAAAAATCAAGAAATGAAATGAGTTCTATAGGACAAAGTCATTTATATACTTTAAGAATATATACTCACTTCCAAATCACTGCAGATGTTATACAGACACACAGATGTCAAAGGTATGTCTGAGGGTCAGGGTGAGGGTGATGGTTAAAAAAATTTAATTATGAGTGGAGCCTGACAGAGACCAGTGATAATGGTTAGTTTGCTCTGAAAGAATGATGATATGTTCAGTTCTCTCCATTCATAAAAACAGGCATCTCTGGAAAAAGTTCCCATTGGAACCTGCGTTCTAACGTCTCTGGTGCTAGGCCCAGGGGCTGATGACTCTGTGTGCTCCAGATAAGAGATCCCAGCCCCCACCACAAAATTATGTCCCTTGACTGATGGTTCTCCCTGCCTTCTCAGAAACCCTTACCCTGTCTCCAGGGCCTTCCTTTAAAATGCACACTTCTTGGGATGTTGGGAAGGGAAGGTGAGCACAGGGTCTGGTTGTAACTGGACTTCACCCAACATTGGCCACTCTGCCTAGAGGCCTCGTTGTACCCCGCAAGCCGGGGAGAGCAGACTAGCACCCCTACCCCTCCATCCACAAGCCCCCACTCAAGCCTGCCCTCATCCCCCTTCCAACATCACAGAAGCCGCCAGCTTGCCCAGGCCTCTGTGGAGGGGCCGACAGCCCAAGCCTGCGGGCCTGGCTGCTGATGGAATGCCTCCTGGGAAGGCAGGCGGAGAAGGAGGCATTTTTCCTTCCTGGAAAAACATACCAGCTGAGGGAGGGGGCCTGCTGTTCCCAGGGACCTCAGCAGGGGATCCTGAAAGGGGTGGGGGGGGGCCAGCCCGAAATCTCCAGGCTGCTGTCTTTTCCAGCCGCTTCCCCCAGAAAAGTGAGGGTGTGACAGAGGTGGAGCTCCAGCCGAGGGGAGCCTGTTAGGGACATCACAGGACCCCTGTGATGGTCAGAGATGTAGAACAAAAGAACCATAAAATGGTTGGAGTGATTCCACTTAAGTTCCGGGATTAAAAAGCAGATAAACGGTTACCTGGGGTGGTGGAGGTGGGAGGGGGATTTACTGAGAAGGAGCAGGAGGGAACTTTCAGGGAGGGCGGAAAAAAATCCATAGTTTGATTGTAGTGGTAGTTACACCGTGTATACATTTGTTAAAACTTACCAAACCATATGCCTAAAATCTGTGCATTTGACTATATATAGATTATACTTCAAAACCTCATTTTTATAAAAAGAAGAACAGCAAAAAAAAAAAAGAAGAAGAAGAATAGCAAGTGGTATCCTGGAAGGAGGCTGGGACCTGGGAGCTCCTCTTGGGGCCATCCTGACTTGCTATGTGACTGTGGGCAAATTCATTGCCCTCTCTGAGCTTCTGTTCCCTTCAGCACCTCTGTGTGCTCCAGGGTCTTGCAAGGGACAGGGTGACATGAACTCTCGTGGATGATTGGACAGTAAAATATTAAGCCCCTAATCATTAAAGAAGCTTGCCTGACAGGCTGACAGGACTGGGAAGTCAGTCAGCCTGGGAGCATGGGGAGCTACCCTGCTGACGGGGTGACTGGGACCCAAGGCCTGCCTTCTGGGAGAGCATAGTCTGGAGGGGAATAGACACAGGTAGATATGATGAAATATAATTATAGATCAATACAGATCTAGTAGTGAGACAGAAGTGTGTGTAGCTTGGAATGTCACTGCCAATCAGGGAAGACTTCCTGGAGCAGGAGGCACCTGCCTGAACCTGAGATTCCTCAACAGTAAGAAAAGGATGGTCATCCTTGGCTCAGTACAGGACCAGGATCAGGGCTCAGTGTGTGACCAGGATCAGGACTCAGTATGTGGTCATAGTTGGGGCCCAATCAAAGGCCAAGAGTGGCACCAGCCCTTGTTGGCCTTGAATACCCTTGGCCTCTTAACTGGCTCTTCCAGCTTCCTTGGACTGCATAAGTCAACTCATGAAATGGCCTAAAGAGGAAGGGTCGGGCCAGAAAAGCTTTGTGGAGCCATCTGTGCAGTGTTTATTGAAACCGGGCCTGGGGTGGGGGTTGCAGCCCGTCTGGTGCCAAATGCTGGGTCTGCTGAGGCTTCAGGCCCAGCTGACCCACCGCCATATGTTGCTGAGGGAAAGGCTCTTAGATGATGGGAAAGGGGACCATTCCTGTCTTCTTCACCCCCTCCCCCTCAAGCTTCTGGGGACCAGAGAGTGAGAACCAGCTTGATACCAAGGTGGCCCCTTGCTATCAGGGCCTGAGGATCCCTTGGGAAGTGACTGCAGGCATTCCTGGGGCCTTGAGTAATGGGGCCTGGGCTGGCCAAGCAGCCCCCATCAGCCAGGAGCCACCTCATCCCCACCCACCCTTGTGCTCGAGCTTCCTCTTCATTCCGAGTAGGTGAGGTCACGCTGGCGGCTCCTGCGTGAGGCCCAGGCCCGGGGCGAGCAGGGGTAGGGTCTGGGAGCCCCAGGGATGTGTTTGTGAGGGGTGGCGTGCAGGCAGACACCTCTGTGGAAGGCTGAGAAGCCAGAGCCCCATCCTCTGCCTCATCTTCTGGGCCTGTGAGCTGACAAGAGGGTTTTGGCAGTGGGAAGAGGGGGCTGGAATCCTGTCCGTGTGACTCAAGCCCCCTCACCACTGCCTGCCCCCCAAGAGCAGAGGGCTTGCAAAGCTAAGAGAAACTTACAGCTTCATTTTATCACTTATCTGCCAAAATCCCTGCAGCCTGAGAGAGGAGGGGACATAGAGGCCCAGGCCCATTCCCCTTTAAGTCAGTGGCTGAGCTGGGATGGAGCCCAGGGCTCTGGAGTCCCCCCACACACCCCCACTCCCACACTCCCAGCATCAAAGTCTCTCCTCCATTTCTCATGCAGATGGGGTCTGCACACCTGAGTCTGGTTTCTATTTATTCCTAACAACTCTCACTAGGGCTAAGTTATGTATGGAGAGGGGGGAGGCGAATGAGCAGATCCCGGGCTCTAGCAAGTCCTGGGGTACAAGCAGTCCCGGGGGGGGGGGCAGACCCCAGACTTCCCTCGGGCACTGGGCCCTAGGCCCTGCAGGGGAGGAAGCCAGACCTTACTCAGATTGGAGGCCAGAGGCTGCAGATAGGGGAAGGTGGGGTCAGGTCTCGGGGCCAATGACAGGAAGAAAGGAGCCCTGAGAAGGCAGGGCTGGGCGTGCAGGCCAGAATCCTGCCGGCTCAGCAGCCTGCTCTGGGGAGGTATTCCCCCGCCTGTGAGCCCTTCCTGTCCTGGCCACCCCTACTTCTGCCAGCCACACTTTACCTGGCTCTGCCTCGGAGCCTTCTGGGGCCCAGTTCACACCAGAAGCCCAGGGCTCGCTCTTGGCAGTTCACAGAACACCAGCTACGGGGGTGAGAGGAGCAGAGGGCGTCTGGGGGTGGTGCCCACAGGCCCAGGAAATAAGGACACGGAGAGTGTTTCAGCCAGGAATTACTTGGTTCACTCAGTCTTGCCTCCAGGCCCTTGTTCAGGCTACTCCCCCTGCCAACAATACCCTTGTATCTTCTCTGCTCTCCAAATTACCCCTGGGCTCAGATCTTGCTCCTGCCCCAGCTCTTTCAGGAGGCTCAGCGGCTCCCACAGCATGGAGCTCCAGAGGTGAGCCCCTTGCTCCTGATGCCCTGACGCCACACATGAGGTGAGGGAGAATGGTTCAAATCACACACCTAGCTCAGGCTGGGAGGCTTCCAGGAGGAGGCAACAGCGTGGGTTCCAGGAGGAAGGAGAATGGCAAGGGGCATTTGGGGTTGGGAAGGCCTCTGGGCCTTAACCATGACTGGCCTGACCCTTTCCAATGCCAAGCACGCCTCCTTCTCGCCCTCTGCCCACTGCAGGTCTCCCTGACTTGGTCCCAGATCCCAACTATGTGCAAGCATCCACTTACGTCCAGAGAGCCCACCTGTACTCCTTGCGCTGTGCTGCAGAGGAGAAGTGTCTGGCCAGGTAAGGACTGAGGACGAAGCGCAGACAGCCCCCCAGAGCCATCCAGAACCCGTACTCAAGCCGGCCGGCTGCCTGCGGGCTGCATGGCCCTGGCCAAGTGCCTGAGCCTCTCAGGACCCTGGCCTCTTCATCTGTGGCCCTTGCCTGCCCCAAGGGGGTCATGTGGGGAAGGGAATGTGTGTGATCCAGCATTTCTGTCTATGTCATCATATGAGGAACTTAATGGCATTTCATCTTCACACCAGCCCCAAAGGTACGTGTTCCCCTGTCAGTGAGAGGAACTAAAATCTTCTGATCTGAGCTGCCTCATCAGAAGATTCCTCCTGGGGAGCCCAGGAAAGTCATATGCGGGGGGCAAGCCTTCAGGTTAGAGGGCAGGATTAAGGAGCCATCTCCGCAGAGGACAGGTGTGGCTGTCCAGCAGCGGCGGTGGGCATGGGTGACAGTGAGGCCTCAGTTATGTGTTGGCACTAGAGAGAAGGGAAGGACACCAGTTTACTCAAACCTGGGAGGTGAGCACAGCCACCTCTCTGTTATTCCTGGGTGATTCTGCCTCTTACAGAGCTGGCTTCTAAATTTAGTGAATATTCTGTTCAAAGATGTATGTTTTGGGGACATCTTCCTGTGCTAAAAGAACTAGTTAGAGATTACGTTGGCCGCCTTCTTTTGTTGACATCCCTCTGTGTTGAAAGCACCTATTTTTCTTAATTATTTGCTTTTTTCTTTTTTTAACATTTGAACTCTATTTACTTTCACTTTTTTAGTATCCGGGAAGCCCTTTGGAACCAAAACATTTTCTCACTTACGGAATCTCCAGTTCACTGCCACTCAGAATAGCTGACCACAAACTGTTACCTATCTGTAGCAAGATAAGGAGCTTGCACCAGAATGTAACTCAGCTCACTGCTTCCTTCATCAAGAAAGTCTTCCTTCAAAAAAAAGAAGTGTCAGCTGAACCAGACAGTGTGACGAGCGACGCAGCTGATTAACATGCTGGTGCAGGTTCCCGTCTCATTACAGACAGGCCACAGACAGCGGCCGGGCACCAGCCCAGGGACCACACATGAGTTCCGCTCACTCTGCCTGCCCACTCAGGTCTTATCCTTGGGAAGTGGGCGTCATGGTGCTGCTCCTGCTAGGATCCCTCCAGTGGGGTGGGACTCAGCCTCTCTCGCAGTCCACTGAGGCTGAGTTGTGAGGAGTTTGAGTCAAAACCAAACTGTCACCGCATCTTCACGGAGCATCCTGTGTGCCCACACCTGAGCTCCTGGACAGGCTGGGGAGGAGGCAGCTGGGGCCCCACCCTGGGGGTGGGTCTCCTGGTCTAGCTGGAGAGAGTGGCCCACCCATGGCTGAGTGACCGAACCGAGAGACAGGGAGTGGGAGGAGAGCTAGAAGGGGCAGTTGGCAGGCGGGAGCTGTGTGAGGTCAGCGCAGGGAGCGGCTGGCCGGGACCGAGGCATCAGCGGAGGCCGGGCGTGGGATCAGACCTAGAAAACGCAGCAGAACTAAGCCCTGGAGCCCTCGGAGCTCGTCGGAAGTGCGGGCTGCAGGCTGTGCCAGTTCACAGACAGCAGGCGGAACCCAGATGAGGGAAGGGACTGGCTCCAGGTCTCCCCAGGAGTCTGTGGCCAAGCTGGGCCTAGAACCCAGACCCTGATGGTTTCCCACGGTGTGCTGAGCCGAACAGAAGGGCAGGATTTAACTGAACAGAGGGAAGGAGGATGTTGTGTTCCAACACAGACACAGACAGATTCCAAGCCTCCCTCAGACAAGGCCAAGGGCCTTACATCCTGGCAGACAGAAGCCTGCACCGCCTGGTGTCCAGACATCCTCTCAGAGAGAGCTAATCCCCATGACGGGCTACCTCCTGCCTCTGGCCTTAGGACCCAGACCTTAATGAGTGCCAGGGAAGTGCCCCTGAGGCTGGCCAAGACAGCTGTCAGCAGTCAGCTGGAGAGGGAGGAGCCTCCAGCCAGCCAGGCTCCTCCAAGGGGTGTGCGCACGCGTCCCGCCCTGCCGCCCCGCGTGTCTCTCTCTTTTCCCTTCTCCCCTCACAAGGCTCATCTCAGTGGGCAGCTGGGATCCACAAGTGAGTTGTGAGCAGGCAACCTGCTCCAAACCTGTACTCCCCAAACAAAGAAGGGCAGGTCACTAGCCCTGAAGCCACACAATCAGGGAGAGGTGGCCTCATCACACGAACCCAGCTCGGGGCAGGGGGTCGCAGGCAGTGCTGTTAGAGCTCACAGGCAGTCAAGATTTCTCTAACTGGGGCAATCAGGGCAGACTTTCTGGAGGAGGGGACCTGAGGTGGGTCTAGGAGTCTGGGTGAGTTCTCGGTCAAGTGAACAGCACAGTCAGAAGAATAGTTTACTGAAAGTTAAGTCTGTTTGGGAAACAGTGTTTGAAACTGGAACCCAGGGTGTGGGGCAGATGGGCAGACAGGACAAGGGAAGTGAAGAGGCTTTTGACACTGAAGAGCCAGAACCCGTATCTTAAGCCCACGCCCGAGACGGCATACTTTGGACAACAATTAGGGCTCTGTCCAGAGGAAGACTTGTCAGAATCTCCTGGATATGGCCATTTTTAAAAAGCCCTCCAAAGACTTGACTGCCTGTGAGCTCTAAAAGCACTGCCTGCGACCTGTGCCCCCACCTTCAGGAGCTGTCCCCAGCTGAGAGGCGCTGCAGGCATCAGGGACCCTCATAGGGTCATCGTCAGGCCAGATGCTGCTTTAGAAAGACTCCCCCGGCGACCGCCAGCCACACGGTGGGGGCAGAAAGGAGGGGAGGAGAGGCCCGAGCCTTGGCCGCCGTCAGGGGCAGCCGTGAGGCTCTCCGTGCTGGATGTGTGTGTGCCTGGCACCCAACCCCGCTCCGGTCTCCCCCGTCCCCACAGCACAGCCTACGCCCCGGAAGCCACAGACTACGATGTGCGGGTGCTGCTGCGCTTCCCCCAGCGCGTGAAGAACCAGGGCACCGCAGACTTCCTCCCGAACCGGCCGCGGCACACCTGGGAGTGGCACAGCTGCCACCAGTGAGTGGGCGCCCCGGGCCCGGGACCTGTGCTCCCCTCCCCTTGGGCACCCCGGGAGGGGCGGTCCTGGTGGGGCGGCCCGTGAGGTACTTTCTGCCCAGGAGCCATCACCGGGGAAGAGCTTTTCAGAGGAGTCTCAGCAAAAGCTGGACTGAAAGACGAGACAGAGAAAGACGGGTTCTGACAGGATGGAAATGTCTAGAATACGGGGAGGTGGTATGGGCGGGAGCCCAAGAGGGAGGGAGGGGTCCTGAGGAGGAGCCCTCCTAGGGTGACTGGCTCAGTGGGGACAGCAGAGATGCCACCTGTGGGACACAGGGACTAAGGAGCCCAGACTGGTCAGGAGTGGTGTCACAGCAGGGTCACCCAGACCCGCCTCAGGAGGGGGACGGGGTGGGAGGGCCAGGCGACCCTGCTCTCCCCCTTCCCACCCCCAGACACTACCACAGCATGGACGAGTTCAGCCACTACGACCTGCTGGACGCGGCCACAGGCAAGAAGGTGGCTGAGGGCCACAAGGCCAGCTTCTGCCTGGAGGACAGCACGTGCGACTTCGGCAACCTCAAGCGCTACGCCTGCACCTCTCACACGCAGGTCAGGCTGGGAGGCAGGCGGGGGCTCGGGAGGCTGCGGGGAAGCCCTGGCCAAGGGTGCGGAGGCCGGGCCGAGCCGAAGATGGTCCAGTGCCAAGGCTCCCGGCCACTCAGCTCCGCCGTAGTGTGGGTGGCGCCAATCCTCGGGCCATCACGGGGCCCCTCGGGGACCCCCCTCCGCCCCCAGGCCCCGTCCTACATCATTCCCAGGGGTGTCTGAGCAGCCACCCTGGGCCAGGGTCAGGACGAAGCACAGAGGAAGGAGGGCCCCGTGCTGCAGCAGGGGGTGCGGGGCGGCCCTGAGGGGCGCACAGCACCCAGCCTCTGCTCCTGTCCCATTCCCTAGGGCCTGAGCCCGGGCTGCTACGACACATACAACGCAGACATCGACTGTCAGTGGATTGACATAACTGATGTGCAGCCCGGGAACTACATCCTCAAGGTAGGGCCATTGGTCCGGGCGCTCCTCCAACCCGATGCTCACGCTCAGCATCCCCGCCTCTGAGATGGGCTTCACCCTCCGGGCATGTTCCCTCCGCCCCAGCCGCTGAGCAGCTGCTGGCATTCCTGGGGGGCCACACCTCCCATCTGAGGGTCTTCGCCTCAGACAGACACAGCCTCTTCCACAAAGACACCAAGGAATCTTCAGCCCAGATGTGGTGATGCTAGAGGAGGTGGTGACTCTGTCCTCCCTAAGTGACAGAGGACTTGGAGAGCCATGTGGTCCATCCCCCTGTCTGTGGGCAGGGCAAGCTCTGTACCATCCTGCAGAGAACACTGCCCTTCCCTGAGAGAGACCCCCAGCTCCTCACAGGACCCCTGAAAAGTCAAGGGCTCCTGTTACCAGTAGTCCCTTCTGGCCTGAACCCCTCCTCCACGTACACTCACTCCAATGCCCCTCTCCTTGGGGGCAACAAGTAGAAAAGCCTGTGAAGGATGCACAGCCCAGTGTGGTACATCCAGGCAGGCTGGGCGGGGGCAGATCATAGTGACCTTCCCCAGGGAAGCCAAATCTCAGCCTCATCCTTGCAGGTGCAAAGTGAGGGTGGGGCGCACTGCTCCACGCCAGAGTAAGGGAAGAGCAGAGAGCTTGGGCCTGGGAGCTTTAACTGGGAGCATGAAGACGGGCTGCTGGGGGGCTGCGTTCAGAGCACAGCAACCTGGAAGCAGTTGGTTGCAGCCCCATCCCCTCAGCGGGCTCGGTGGGGCCTCTGCCCAGCCTCACGCGGGGCCAGGGCTATCAACAGTATTCTTCTCCTTCTCTCGTTCATCCACTCACCAAACTCCTACAAAGGCCCCTCTGAACTCTAGGCACTGAGGATTCAAGACACATGAGTAATGCGCAGTTCCTGCCCCTAAGGAATGTAACTTAGATGCAACACCACTGCGCCTGTTCTTAGTGTACTGCAAATAAGGCTGGGTGTCGTCTGCCCCAGTGGAGCTCCCCTATTCCAATCAGTCCAACATTTAAAAGATTTCCTTGTGTCCCAACAGCTCCTCTTACACGTTAGGCTTGGGCCATCATTTCAGTGAGTGTTGGGTGCCTTACGCTTCAGGGCAGGAGGTGCCACCTGGCATCAGACAGGCCTTCAACTGGTCACCTAAGCAGGCATGCACGGTGAAAGGGTGTGAGCCTCGGAGTCAGGGAGGCCAGGCATAGGATCCTTGCTCAGCCCCCACTCACTGCTGCATTCCCTGGGGCAGTGGTTCAACCTCTCTGACCATGAATGCCCCATGCAGGGTCCCCCTGGCCTGGGGTCTGGGGCCGAGGGAGCTTCCCATCTTCCCATAAGGATGCTCCGATGAGGTTTTCTTTGACTAGAGCTGTCTCTTCATTCCTCCCTCTCTCTGCATGTCCCCCACCTCTCCATCCGTGTATCTCTGTCTCTGTGTCTCTTGCGCTCTCCTGGTCTTTCTCCATCTCCCTGTCTCCTCTGCGTCGGCCTGTCGGCCTCTCCAGCTTCCCTGTGGAGGCACAGTCCCCCCACCAGACCCCTTCTCCCTCTGTTCCTCTTCCCCTTCAGGTGCACGTGAACCCGAAGTACATTGTTTTGGAGTCGGACTTCACCAACAATGTGGTGAGATGTAACATCCACTACACGGGTCGCTACGTTTCTACGACAAACTGCAAAATCGTCCAGTAAGTGCTCACCCACCCTCCTCCCCGCCCCGGCCCCTCCCCTACCTGAGGAGCAGGCAGGGCCGGGTGAACACCGAGGATCCCTGCACACAGCTGCAGCTGAGCCTGGCCCACATGCCGAGCGGCGGGGCCTTGAGCGTGCCCCCCACAGGCTGCGTGCTCGCAGCGGGGCCGGTGGGGCCGGCGCCCCAGGCCTCCTCGGGTGGAAACCAGCTTGCTGGGTGGAGTCGCGTGGGCTCTGCAGTCCTGGTTCTGTGACTCCCTCACTCTGTGACGTTGGGCAGCTCGCCTCACCTCTCTGAGCTATTTATCTCTTAGGCACTTCCCACGCAGGTTCATGAGGAGGACTTAAAGGCCTGATGTCTGTGTGTGTTCTGGAACCCTTCAGTGGTGCTCCATGAATGGCGGCTGTGTGACCACTGGTGTCCTTATCAGGGGGACTGAATTAAGCAGTCCCAGACTAGAAGTGATTCTGCTTGGAATGAGCCGTCATCGGCCCCTGGGCCCGGTTGTGGGGGGAGTGGATAAACTCTGGGCCCACGCCTTTGGCACGTGGCTCCTGGGCAGGGTCCTGAGCTGTCCTCTGCCTCTCTCCTGATTCCCCACATGAAGCACTTTACAGAGGGACCCCCTGCTTACAAACTCACTAAAAAACCCTGCTCCACTCCATGTGAATTTTAAATGTTTGATCAGGTCAGACAACTCTTTTCCATTTCAAAAATAAAGAAAAATGGAGTAGTCTCCTAAAGCTTTAGTCCATCAGCTGGGGGGACAAATGGCAGAGATTCTAAGGCCCAGAAACGCATCTTTCCCCAAACATGTATGCTTATGAATGGCCGACAGGAAGGAGAGGTTTAGCCTAGGACCAGAGTCAGGGCTCAGTGTGTGACCAGAATTAGGGCTCAGTGTGTGTCCAGGGTCGGGCTGCATGTGGCCAGGATTGGGGCTCAGCATGTGGCCAGGGTCAGGGCTCAGTGTGTGTTTAGAGACGGCCCTTTCACCCTTGGCTGCTACCACTAAGCTGACTTCACAGCCCCCACCACACCGTGGGAACAGTAGCCTCTGGCTCAGTTCAGAGATGAGGTTTCCTCATCAGCAGAGTGAGAACAGAATCATCCAAGTCACAGGGTGTTTGAAACGACAGAATCCCGCCCCATCCCTGGCAGCTGAGCCCTTTCGCAGGCCTGGGTTTCCGGCACCTCCTCACTCCTCAGGGCCTATCTCTGTTCACTTAAAATCCAGGGCTCCCCTAAACGGCAGAGGTTTTCGGAGAAGAAGCACTAGGGAAAGAGAGGGGAGGGCGGACAAGAGCAAAGAGGGCAAGGGGTGCAGGGAGGCCGGGAGCCGCCTCCCCTCCTGTCCTGCTGCTGGGAAAGGTGCAAACAGCCCCCCACTTCCCAGGCGGCATCGTGGGCTGGGCCCCTCAGCGAGGCGGACAGAGCAGCAGCCCCGAGCCCCCCTCCTGGGGCCTGCGGGCCGCAGGGAACGCCGGGGCCCTTCCTTCCGAGCCCTTTACATAAGTGCTTGGAAAGGCTCGCGTCTCATTAGCGTGTCTCCACGACCCTGACCGCAGGCGGGCGGCTGGGCCAGCACACAGGAAGCCGGACGGAGCCTTCCCAGAAAGGCCACGGGACTGACGCCTGTGGGTTTCAATCATGTTTCTTAAGAGGGAAAAAGAGGCCTTTTTTTCAAAAATATTGAGATAGAAAAAACAAGAAAGTATTTCCAGACAGTAGCAGCTCTGCTAATGGCCTAGAAAACAATTTGGAACGCAGGGCATGGGGGGAGTCCACGAAACCCCTCTTCTTGGAGCTGGGGGTGAGGGGTCCCGTCCCCAGAGCCCGGAGCACTGAGGGAGGTGGAGGCCTGGGCTGCCCCCCCACGAGGGATCTGGGTGGTGGGAGGGAAGCGCTCTGCCGGGGAGGCAGTTGGGGGGCCCTGCTGAGTTGGGCCGGGGCGCTACCCCTGAGCCTGCTCTCTTTCCTTCCTTAGGTCCTGATCTCATGGAGGGTGTACAGATGGCCAACCTCCCCACCTCCCAAAGCAGGCCCTGCTCCCCAGGCAGCCTCCCACCAGGACAAGCCCGGCCGGGGGGCCCAGCCCCACCACCCACAGGCCGGGGCAGCTGGACCCCGAGAGCATCCTTCCCTGCCCGCCTCAGGGAGCAAACGTGGGCTGAAACCACAGGGATTCCGGATGCCAGGCCCAACTGTGTACTTAACTTTCCCCTACAACGTTATTTTGTCGGTCGTTGGTTTTTATTTTTTATATTTTGGCCACACCACAGCAAGATTGCCCAGGCCTGGGCTGAATAAAACAAGGTTTTTCTACTCTGTGGTTCTGCAAGTGGCCTGCTGGTCAGGCTGGCCAGGGCTAGCTTGGGCTCAGAGGACATCCTTGGGCTTCATCCCGCCCTAGCAGAATGCGGAAAGGGCAGCCACAGCCCTGCAGGACCACAGCTTGACCGAGAGGGCACCACATCCACTGTGGAAACCCCGCAGGGTTTATCTCGGGGCCAAGCCTGCTGCGAGGGAAGAGGCCCACATCCCACTAGGGGAGGGGCCCAGGTATCTCATCCTCCACCCCCATTCCCCCTGCAGCCACACTCTCCCACCCCCCTTGCTCTCTCACACAGTCACCCACTCCGCCAGCCACTTGCTCCCTTACTCACATATTGAGTGCCTACTGATTGTGGGGCCCATGCTGGTGCAGAGCACACACCAGAAAATCAGTTCCTGCTAACAGGATGGGGGGTGCACCCCTCAACGTGAACTCATACCTAGTGATAGCCCCTTGGGGCAGCAGTGGAGCTGTCAAATGGGGGGTGGTGTCTGCCTGGGAAGGGAAAGAAGAGTTTACTTGGCAGAGGCTGATGGGGGTGGGGTGGGAGGTGGCCCTCTCGCTCCCACCCTGGCATTGGTACCCCGAGCTCTGGATACTGAATACTCTGCACCCACCTGCCTCCTGCCAGCTCCCTTCCTTCCCTGGGGAGTAACACTAGTGAGAAAGGGAAAGAAACTTGATCCAAGAACCAGGGTTCTGGGTTCCCAGGGCCAGTTCTCCTGCTCAATGGCTGTGTGGCTTTGGGCAAGGCATACTATACCTCTGGGCCTCAGTTTTCCCATCAGTAAAGGGGGAATGCTCTCCTGGCTGGCCCACATGCTGACACAAAGAGCCACTGAGCTGCTGCTGCAGGTGCAGGTCCTGGGCGAGCAGCAGGGTGTTGGACCCCCCAGGTCACGGTGGACTCCCCAGCCTGCTGCACCTCCTCCAAGGAGAAGGGGCGCCCGCAGCTGTTATGGAAAGCAGCTATGCTCACCACTATACCACCAACGCTGCACGCCCGCAGCTGTTATGGCCGTCACACTATTCACGCCTCAGGGTCCCAAAGGGTGGAGAGGGAGGGCTTCTTGGAGCCATGCTGTGCTTCCAGAAGGTCCTGGCCCCAGCCCACTGTAGCCCTTGGGCCGCTCACCAGCCCAGGCAGAGGATGGAGTGGAATGTGGCTGCAGCCCCTCTTGCCTTCCCTCACTGAGTCTTGCTGGATTCAGCTCTTTTCTGGCCGAGGGTGAGAACGGCAGCCCTGCCCTGGTTCTGCTGCACCCGAACCTACAGAGTCTCAGACATGCTGTTCTAATTGCAGCCCCACCCCTGGTGCCCCCAGGAGAGTAAGGGAGGGCTCAGACTCGGTCACCAAATTCCAGGCTGTCAGAAGGACCCTGGGGGGTTGAAGCAAAAGTCCCCAGTTCCCAGGTCAGAAAGCTGAAGCCCAGGATGGGAGCCTGTCTGAGGCCACAGGCTTCAGCAGGTGCACAAGGGAGGCTGGTGGGGAGGCACAGTGCTCCTGGCAGGGCCGGACGCTGTGGATGAGTGAGACCACAGCAGGAGGAGCAGGAGGGAAGGAGAAGACCGCCTTTGTGCCTGAACCAAAACAGGGTTATTCCTTGGAAGTCGCATTATGGGGCTTGCCTGGTTGGTGAGGGGCTGGTGCGAAAAGGTTCCCTCTCGGTCCACAGCAATGCCTGCGCGCCCCGCCCCTCCCCTCCGAGGTGGGGGTCCCTCTCCCGCCTTCTGCAGCATCCACACTGGCCCCACACCTGACGCCTGCCCTTCGGGCCAGCCTCCTGAGGAAGCTTCCTGCTTGCCCTGCTGATTCCAGACTGAGTGAGATTAACGACACGTGCCCCTCTAGCCTGGGGCTGGGGGATTACCCCCAGCTCCCAGCAGGTATCTCTCCTTTCTCTCCTTCATGGTCGATACCAAGGCCCCCTTGGCCACCCACCATAGCCTCTGAGCCCCACTGGTCACCCACAGGGATGGGCCCTCCCCAGCTGCTCCTCACTGGGGCTGCGTCTGGCACACGCCCACCCACAACATTTGCTGGGAAGCCCCGCACACCTCCCCACAAACCCCCTGCCATCCCCCAGATTGAGTCCTGCAGGCAGAGTCCGCTGGTAGGGTTGGCATCAGCCGGCCAGGCAGAATGAGAGGCACTGGCCACACCTCGGAAACCTCACTGAAGCCCGTGGGTTCCAGTCAGGAGAGCAGCCAGAAGCCAGGACTCGAGGGCATGCCTGACACATCACCCTGGAAGCTGCAGCGGAACACCCTAAGAATGAGAAAGTCCTGACAAAGCTTTAGCAAAGCTCAAAGCATGGAAGGCAGGTGAAGCCGGTATGGAGCTCGGTTCCTACATGCCCTGGCTATGTAAAATCACTTCTTTTAAAAAATTGTTTTAAATCAAATTTAATCTGCTTTGAGCCCCTGGCTACCAGGTGGGAGATTCAATGTCCTAAGTCATTTCACTCCCACCCTGGAGGCCTCGAAAAGTCCAGAAGATCAGAGAGAAGCTCTGTGGTCTTTGGTTCCCTCCAGTCACTGCACGCAGGCTCAGAGACTGAACCTGAGGGTGGGTGTCTCAGCCTCCTGCAAAGCTGCGGCGCAAGGGCACCACACAGCATGTCCCTCAAGGTTCATACATCCTCAGGGCACCACCAGGAGCAGCAGGCTGTCCCTGCCACTGTGTAGCACGGCCACAGCCCCCATCCCCCTCGGCTGGGGCAAGCTGTCCCCACCTCCTTCCTCTGCCTGCTTCCACCCCCCCCCAACTCCTCACTCCTTTCCTCTTCCTCTTTTGGGCAGCCTCCCATCACCCCACAGTGTGCCTCAGCTCACAGAAGCGGCCTCAGATCTGGCCCTTGGGGTGGGGAAGCACAGCACAAGGACCTCCTGGGGGCTTGACGGGGGGGGGGCGGCAGGGGGGCGCAGGGGGGCCGGCAATCAGCATGCGCCAGGCTCAGCCCTAAATGCTGAGTAAAAGGTTTGCCCATTTCTCACACTGACCTTGCAGGGGGGCACTGTAATTATTCTCATTTTGCAAGTGGGGAAGCTGAGGCATAGAGAGGTCATGTGACTTGCCCCAGGTCCCTCAGCTAGTAAATAGGAGAGTCGGGATCCAATCGCAGGCACATTTCTGGAGACAGGGGAGTGGCTTCCACCAGATCCTCAAAGGCATCTGAGACCAGACAAAAAGCCACATGCCTGTGCTTTGAAGCGCAGCCAGGGCGCTATTCAAACCTTCATCTCCTTCCTCCGCAGCTCTCTGGATTCATGACTCCTGGAAACAGCAGCTCAAAAACTGGCTGGACGCAGAGAAGCGTAATTCCTCCTTGAAGTAGTATAATTCATATTTAGATTGTTCTTTACGGGAAGGGGAAGGTAGAGACAAATGAAAATAGACAACCTACCAACTGGTCTAGTCAAGAAAAACAATGACACATAACATGAGGTTAGAAAGGGAATATCAACACAGCGATGCAGATGACTTTCGAAATCTAAGAGAACAGTACCTACAGCTCCATACTTATAGAGTGTTGCAACATGAAGTAACATTCTAGGGATATACCTGTTAATTGCCAAAACTGACTCAATGAGTGAAAGACCTGTAACCACAAAAGAAATTTTATAAGTTGTCTCTACAAAAGACACAAGATGTAGAGAGTTTTAGCATGAGTTCTTTCAAACTGGAAAAACAGGTTATTTCTACGTCTCTATTTAAACTTTTTCAGAGCCTATGGGGGAAATGATGGATGGATTTTGTGCTTCCAAACTGATCTGACTGAGCTCCCGACACCCAAATCTGACAGAAATAGGCATCCTATCCCACGCACCTTCAGGATGATAACCACAGACCAGTTTCACTCTTGCCAGTGGGTGTAAAACCCTGGACCAAAGGCCAGCAAATGGAATCCTGTATTATCTTGCTGCCTAATAGAGTCAGCGTTGCCCACAATTGTCCGACACCCAGTGTTTGGCATGCTTTCCCATTACCCAGATCTGTGCTGGGGGAAAACCAGACCTGATATCCGTGTCCAGACAGTCTGTACACACACTTCCTTTGTGCAGTCCTAGGTGCCCCTCTCAGGAAGCAGACAGAATCAAATGGGGCAGGTGTGCAAAACTTGCAGAAATACAAAAAGGCTACAGCTTGAATTATTGCTGGAAACTTGTGGTCAGCTGGAATAACCTGCTATGTTGATCATTTGTCCTTTCTTTTCCTTTTTGAGAAGTTCTTAACTGTTTGTTTTTAAATAAGTTACAGTCTTTCTCCCTGCTGCGCTTGGTAACATCTGATTAAATAGTCAAGTCCTGGTGGAATTCCCTCTTTGCTGTATCAATATGCATACCCTCCAAAAGCTCAGGGATGGTGCCTGCAGTGACCTGGGCAACAGAATCCTGGGCCCAAGGGACTTGATCCAACTGGCAGCGCACCCATGGCAGACAAGACATGGCAGAAGCGGGGCTTAGCCTCTGTCTGGAGTCCCAGCAACCCGGGAGCTTCTCAGGCAGGAAATAAGACTGTCACTGCCCCCTGGGAGCCACCAGAGGGCGCATGACTCTTATTTCCAGGATATGTGATCTAAAAGGCCATCTCATTTCTGACTACAGCCATTGTCTCTTTCACTTTTAAAATATAATTCAGATATATTAAGGAATAATCTGCACCCAGTGAAATTCAGCCATTTTAGGCATACATTTTGATGAGTTTTGACAAGCATGTGCAGTCGCAGAAAACCCCTGACAATCAAGATGTAAAATATTTCCATTACCCTTAAAAGTCCCCCTGTGCTTACTTGTAATTTCCTACCCCTGTCCTCTTTCCTGGCAACCACTAGTCTGCTTTCTGTCCTCATAGTTTTGCCTTTTCCAGAATCTCATATAAATGGAATCATATAATAAATGGCCTTTTGTATCCATCTTCTTTCAGTTAACGTAAGGCTTTTGAAATTCACCCATGCTGTGTGTATCTATAGTTCCTTTGCATTGCTAAGTTGTATTCCACTGCGTGGACCATAATTTGTTTTTCCATTTATCAGAAGATATACATTTGGGTTGTTTTCAGTTTGGGGCCGGAAAACTGCTGTCAATATTCACACCTAGGTCTTTGAGTAGATACACATTTTCATTTTTCTTGGGTAAATACCTAGGAATGAGGTTTGAGTCATATGATAAGTGTATGTTTAACTGTACAAAAAACCTGCCAAACTCTCTTCCAGAGTGGCTATTGTTCCACAAAATGGCTATTGCCAGCACTTTGTAATGTCTTTTTTCTTTTTAAAGTCATTCTAGTAGGCGTGTAATGGTATTTCATTGTGGTTTAAATTTTCATTTCCCCAAAGTTAGTAATGTTAAGCATCTGTTCACATACAGATTGTCCATCATATCTCATGTTTGCTGAAGTTTCTTTTCAAATCCTTTGCCCACTTTTAATTGGCTTATCTGTCTTATTGAGTTGGAAGAGTTCTTTATCTATTCTGGATACAACTCCTTTATCGATCACGTGTTTTGCAAACATTTTCTCCCAGTCTGTGGTTTGTATTTTCATTTGGAGGAGCATAAGGTTTTCATTTTGGTGAAAGCCAATATAATCATGTCTTTTCTTGTGTGGATTGTACTGTTTATCTTATCTAAGAAATCTCTACCTAAACAAGGTCATAAAAATACTCTCTTCTATTTTCTAATATAAACACGTGATGCTATAATTTCCCTCTGCCCTGCTTTAAATTGTGTCCCACAAATTTTGGTATGTTGTGGTTTCACTTTCATTTAATTAAAATATTTCTAATGATTCTCATGGTTTTTCTTTGAATCATGAGTTAGAAGTGTGTGTTTAATTTTCAACTATTTGGAGATTTTCCAGATATCTTTCAGTTATTGATTTATAGTTTAATTTTATTATGATGGGAGAACATACTTGCGTGATTTTAATTATTTTTAATTTGTTGAGATTTGTTTCTCGGCTCAGCATATGGTGTATCTTGGTGCAGTTCCATACACCTTGAAAAGAATGTGTATCCTGCTCTGGTGGGGTGGGGTTTCCTATAAATGCCAATCAGGGTGAGCTGGTCAATAGTGCTGTTCGAGCTATCCATGTCCAGGCTGATTTTCCGTCTATTCACTCATTCTGTCGAATATTGGAAGGGAAGTGGACTTGCCTAGCTCTCCTTTCGGCTCCTCCCAGTTACACGTGTCTGTGTCATGAAGTGCAGCTCTCCAGTGTGTGCACTTCGAGGCTGTCGTTCCTCTTGACGAGCTTGACCTCTTGTTCATTGTGTGTTGTCCCTCTGGATCCCTGAAAATGTTCTCTGTCCCATAGTCTACTTTGTCTTATGTTAATATAGACACTTAAGCTTTGCCTTAGTGCATGTCTTTTTCCTTTTTACTTCTAACCTACCCAGGTCTTTATATTTAAAATGGGTTTCTTGTAGATTACCTCGGGTTCCAGAGGGGTTTTCTTGCTGTTGGCTTTCGGGGGTTGGTGCAGGCCTCCACCAAGGAGCGGGTCCCTCTGCAGGCT